TGAAGCGGTTTGCTGAGCAACATGGAAATCGCCGCATTCAGCTGTTATAGGAATGACAACTTCATGTTATGCTCACTGGTGAGCCTTTACAAAGCTGTTAAAATGACGACCTCAACAGAATCTGCACTTTAAATTTCTGTGTGTGTGTGTGTGTGTGTGTGAGAAAGAAAAGTTTCAAATGTGACACTGGTGTAAATGGTGTAAACAAAATGTCTAAAAATTGTTCAAGCTACTGAGGGACAAATGGGGAGAATGTGTGTTCTGAGTAAACAATAAAAGTCATGTCCAGTACCTTGTTTGAGTGCCGTGACCCATTTATTTCCACAGTGTATTTATGCTCACCTTAGTACAGCTCAGTCCATAGATCTTCATGGGTAAGTATTTCTTTGGATAGTTTCTTCTGGTACAAATGCTGCCTGCAACGCTGCCTCTCTGACACAATCAAAAACTGTTTGCTTCCCCTCTGATACATCTGCCACTCATCACCTGTGTTTTACCTTAATGCCTTTCCTGTGATAATGCCCCACCTACAGTAGTGTTACCATACTTCTATCTCCTATTAAGTGAGATCACATTGTATGGTCACTTCTTCCTAATATGAACTGTTTCACATGAAACCTCAAATGCAAGACATTGATTGCATGAGATTAAGTTTGTCTGTATGAGTTTGTAAATGGCAGCCCGTGCCCTTTTGTAGTGTGTACATACTATTTGTCATCAAACTGTGATTAAATTCAGTATATATACACGTCTGCCATATGTTGCCACCCTTCAAAAATTCCTGCCTCCCTCTCGCCACCCCATCAATATTTTTTCTAGATCCGCCCCTGTACACAACCGTACTTCACAAAGCTTTGACAAAACAAATAGAAGACAGAGGGTATGTCAAGGAGCAGGGACCAGAAATAAAAGAAGTATTAAGAGGAGCGAGCAAGATTTCATTGCAGGAAAACTCAGTTTCTTAGCTGAGCAAACTACTGTTTTACACATCAAACGTTGTCAAAACAACATAATGAAGTCCTTATAAAAAAAAGTCCTTATAAATGCTTTGTGACAAGATATGACACACTACTAACCTGTTTTGTGCAGGAGAAGCCTCACGCAGCCCTACTAGCGCTCACCAAAGTGGACACTCCCTCTTGTGGCACAACTGGGAAATTGCACTTTTAAAACTACTACTCCCATGTCTTGTAAAGATTCATTAACATTTGACCTTTTTCACTGGCTAATACACAAAACATTTTAACAGTTGTGACTATACATTTGTAGGCGTCACAGAAACATTTTGAATGAATTTAAAGGAGTAAATATGTTGATTACACCAGAATACAATGAAAACAATACAATTAATGTTACATAATTACATTCATCCTGAGTTTTATATCGGAGGTGAGAAGATATTAAAGTCTGTTATTTACTTGCTAATTAAAGAAAATGTAAAGAACAAGATATTAGAATCAGAGTGAGTTTTATTATAAGAAGGTTTTCAATACAAGGAATTTGCCTTGTTATCTTTGTACATAATAAACATAAAGTGCTAAAAACTATAAATAAAGGAAACACGGACTTCAAGTCAAAAAGCACAAAAATAAAAATATTATAAAGAGAAAAATATACAATATGACTGTTATATATATTTTTATTTTAGCTCTTTGGTTGTTTGAACTTCTTTAATGCAGGACGAGGCTGTTTATCAGAGGTTCTGTGAATATAGTTTGTGTTCAGGTCTTCAAAGTCAAATCAAACAAAAATGCTGAGATATGTCTACTGTATTTATTTTCTAAAGTTTTCTAACACCCCATAAAACCAAGAAGGCCTCCCGACCTACTAAATAACTAAAGAATACATAATACAGACAGAGAATTGTATAAAAGGTTCCCTAAAATATCAGGAAAACTGGCCCAGGCCCACAGTGGGACGTTGTGGGGAGTGAAATTATGTGTATAAATCATTTTCCAGTGTGAAAGCACTTGTTGGTGGAAGGCAGAGAGTTTAACAGGCAGTTTAGATATTACAAAATCACATTTTAGCAAGAACTCGATGCCACCCAATTTCTTAAACACAAGTGAAGATAAAGAGAACCAAATGTCTTGACCATTCTTAAGAAAAGATTGCAGCCATTTAACCTTTACTACTCCATTCATAATTTCCAAATCTATAGCTTTTATCCCACCTGCTTCATAGCCTTTAAGCAAATTTCCTTTCCTGATGTAATGATGCTTATTTCTCCAAATAAAGTTAAAATTGAATTTATTAATATCCTTTACGACTTTGGGAGATATAGCTAAAGAGTATGCAGGGTAGATCAACCGAGATATAGTTTCTGTTTTAGTTAGCAGAGTTCTACCAAACAGGGTCATGTCTCTCTGCAACCACAGGTTCAGTGTTTTCTTACATTTATCAACAGTATCTTGAATGGTCTTTTTCTCTCTGGTATCAGGGCATCTGGTTATCCAAATTTCGAGGTATCGAGTGTCTTTTTTAACAGGTATATTATATAATGAAGTGTCCGAGCAGTTGCGGATGCTCATGAGTTCACATTTGTGGAGGTTCAACCGGAGGCCTGAAGCTTTAGAGAACAGCTCAATTGTTTTTAAGGCCAAAGGAACTTGTTCTTTATTTTTCAAGAACAATGTTGTGTCATCAGCTAGCTGACTCATTACTACGTCTTGACCATTTATGTTTAAACCCTCGATATTGGATTTTTTTATATTAATGGTTAATAATTCAGTAACTGTAATAAACAGAAGAGGTGAAATACTACATCCCTGCCTTATGCCTCTTCCTACTCTGAACCTGGGGCATGTACCTTCTGGGAGGGAAACACAGCTGTTGATATCTGTGTGCAACATAATAATCATATCTAAAAACTTGCTGCCAAATCCAAAGTGCTTCAGTGTATCAAAGATAAATGTATGTTCAACAGAGTCGAATGCTTTATAGAAATCCAAAAATAGCATAAAACCATCATCCTCTATTAAATCACCATAATCAATGAGGTCCTGAACCAAGCGGATGTTGTTGTGGATGGATCTTCCTCTGAGGAATCCTGAGTGACTTGGGCTAATAATCTTTGATATGCCTGATTTTAATCTAGCTGCCAACACTGAAGTGAGAATTTTATAATCTGTATTTAAAAGAGTGATAGGTCTTAAGTTGCCCAGGTGTCTCTTATCTTTCCCAGGTTTATGTATTCATTTTATTACGCCCTGTTTCATCGTTGTCATTAATTCTTTGTTATTTATACATTCATTTAAAGCCTTCAGTAGCAGTGATTTGATGTCTTCCCAGAAATGTTTGTAGAAGTTGGCTGTTATTCCATCTGGGCCTGGTGCACGATCAAATGCTATTTTTTTGACGATACAGTCAAATTCACCCATTCTTAAATCCTCCTCACATATTTCCTTAAAATTATCATCAATTACTGGAATCTCCTCCTTCATTTTTTCAAAAAATAGCTTAGCATTTCGTTCAGAGTATGAAGATGTATAAAGTTTGCTGTAGAAATTGAGAACCTCTTTTGTGATTAGATTTGTTTCTGTGCATTCTTTCCCCTCTATTATGAGGCTGCAGATTGCATCTTTCTCTTGTCTACGTTTTTCTAAATTACAGAAATAAGAAGTATTTTTTTCTCCATCCTCAATCCACTTGGCTCTGGATCTTATGTATGCTCCCTGTGCTCTATTTAAGTAAAGTTCATCAAACTGCGATTGGAGGATGCTGATCCTTTCTTTATCTTCTGCACTCCAGTTTAACTTGCTATAATATGAGAATAGTTCTTTGACCAAATTAGTTGCATTTGCTTTTCTTTCCCCTTCTATTTTTTTGCTGAAATAAATTGAGTAGTTTCTAATTGTAAACTTTAAATATTCCCATTTCTGTATTGAAGTAGCCAGTGTGTTATCCTTTTGGATATCTAAGATGATCTTCTTTATATTGTTACAATAAACCTTATTTGTTAACAACCTTGCATTAAATTTCCAATAACCTTTGGATTTAGTAGACATATTGTTTTTAGTTAGACTCAAATTAATTATACAATGATCACTCAAGGGGCTATTTGAAATATTTGTTCCTGCTGCATGTTTTAAGATTGAGTTTGATGTCAACCAGTAATCAATTCTTGATTTGGCCTGTCCGTTAGGCTTAAACCAAGTAAAACACCTCCTTTCCTTATTAAGTGTTCTCCAGATATCTATCAAGTTATTATTGTTGATGAAGTCGCCTATAATCTGATTATTATGTTCTGATGAGTCCTAGATGGCCACCTATCCATCCACTCATCAGGAGTTAGATTGAACCTCCAACCAGTAAATAATCTTTAGTTCCTTAACAACTGCATTGTTATACCCATAAACATTAACCAAAATAATGAGCATATTATCTACCGTCAGTACACAAGCTACCCAATGACCATCACTCAACACGTGTCCAAGTGTGGCGCGAAAATCAAAAGCATAAACCGACTGTTTGTAATGACGTCAGAGAGTTTTGCCGCCTTGTAGTTTAAATGAATCAGAGACAAACTACAAACATCGTGATTCAACCTACAAAACTCAGAAATTCCCCGACACAAAGTACATATAAGTATTGTTTTATCTCGTGTTTATCACAAACGTTACTGACCTTCTGAAGTTTGTAGTTTGAAGACAATAAATCCAAATGTCAGGAGGAGTTGACTTCTGCATTACATCCGTAGTGGTTTAGCACTACCATAGAGAATGAATGGGAAACGGTCTGATGAAGGTGTGTTTGGTAAAAATTGTGCTTTTTCTCTGCTCTGTCTCCCTTTTTTTACCACACGCACTCTTCCCAATATGAATGCACACACAGCACAAATCCTCTCACTCAAGGATAACTCCATTTCTTAACATCATCTGCCTTATACAAAACAACTACATACATTGATGATGTACACCTTCATAGAGGGAACATCAGCCAACACCCAGTAGATACATGTTACCTTGTGCTTCTCGGATATGTCAGAATCATCAGAGTAAAGTAGAATTGAAAGTGTTAATTTGCACTGTTGTAAGGTTTTAACTGAATATTTAAAAAAGCACCTTCTTCTTGTCATGTGATATGGCCTTTTATTGTTCTTTATGTATCTTGGGGAGAAAACTAAAGAAATGCAGTGTATACTGTAATTACAATGATATTTTTATTTCATTTTTTTCCAAACGTTTTCAACAGAGCAAGAGCATATCAATGGGAATATGCATGTGTTTCTCATTAATGCCATGTTATATTTTTGGCTGCTGCTTCACTTTGAATGCATGTTACACAGTTGAATTGTACATTTCAATTTTAATGTTAATGTTAGTGATTCATTGGTGTTAATAACAAAATAAAACATTTCATTATATATTGTATTTCAGTTGCTGCTTTGTGGTAAAAGTATATGCATAGAGAAAATGATTACATTGATTTGGTCAAATTCATCAAAACAAAATAACATTTACATAATTGTAGTGAATAATATATCTGCAGACATAGAAGGAATTTAAAAGGTCAAACAGAATAAATGTAATAAAATGTACCTATTGACTTCATCACAGTAAATATCACTGATATATAAGATTTACTTTATATTTTTATGACAGCAATGTCTCGTATATGAAAATATATAATTGACTTTACTCAGTTAAACTAAATATAACTTGTAATGTAGAAATAATTAAACAACATTTACTTTATATTTTTACTAAAGTTTAGTTGAGTGGTGAGTAAATTTGACTTGATACTGGCAACTGAGTTGTACTTGATATTTCAGCAGTAATATTTACTTAAACATTGTTACAGAGATTATATTAAGTAAATCTTACCAGTTGTTTTTTTCAGTGTCCTTTCCCCCCTTTTCCTTTGCATGGACAGGGGGGGACACACTGGAGATGGCCAAGGCCATCTGGCATCTACTTTTCTCCACCAAAAACCTGAGGTGGACCACACTGCACAGACCCTCCTGACAATGGACAATATTATACAAGTGTCTGATGTGATGAGAGCACTGCGTCCACCATTCACTGAGGAGGAGCATGGAGAGGAGGAAACCAACCAGCTTCCTGATGGAATCTACTTTCTCTTCCTTCCTCCCCCTGCAGGTCCAAGGGCTGTATGAGGCAGAGCAGAGGGGGAAAGAGAGGGCAAGGACATGAAGAAAGGATGCTCCTCGGTTGTACACCGCTCTGCATTCATGGTAAGCTTTTCAGTTTCTATTTCACCTTTCATTTAGAGTTTTATTTGGTGGTGCACTGCCTCATCTCTTGTGTGTGGAGTTTCATCCAAGGAGCTGTGACTGTTCCTTCCTGAGGGTGCAGCACGGGGAAGGTACGCCGGGTCACCTCACTTTCCTCTCTCAACCAATAACACAACATATTCTGACTGTCAATCCCCAACAAACAGCCACCCTCCTCAGAGTCTTTTTGTGCCACCCAGACTGAGAGTTTGAACGCACGCACAAACCCTAACCGTCCTGTATCAGCAAACCACAGAGCCACTAACACCCACGTTGTTCTTTTATTTTCTGACAAATGTCTGTCTTTACTCTTCTGTTCTGTACACATTCTTTCTGTCTTTGTCCTGTTGTTCTGTATTTTGTTTCTCGTGTTAAAATAATAAAAGAAAACTCAAGAACATCCTCAGAATTTAGATCAGGCCAATGTTTTTGTCTCACTAGAATCACAGAACTATTTACAGAACAAGGTTTTTTTAATAAAAGTTGCTATATTTTCTTAAATACAGACACATTTTACACATTTGATACTTATTAATAGTAAATTATCTGTTCTCATGTCAGCCGAGCACTCCCTCAGCCCTACTGCACAGCTTTGCACTGAACCGTGCTCCAGCATTCTTTAAACACAGTTGGTTCCTCCTAGACCGGCTCCACTGGAAGAACCACATTGGTCAGCAATGTATTCCTGTTACTTCTAATGCCTAAGAGGAATGCTGTACTTTTACTGTGTGCTGGTTGAAGTGTGTATAACGCTGACAGTGATCTGCAGCACGCTATCATCAACAGCCAGCTGGCAGAGCAGTTTAATGCTCATTTGAAAGGAATCAGGCACCACCTGCCCAAGTCTAATATTTATGCTGTCAAATGTCTCATTTCTGACTTGTTGTCGTCATACATGAGTTATCTTATGAAAGGATGTCAGATGTGTTTTTACAGGTTACACAAAGCAGTTCTGTTGTGTCAAATCACACATTTGAGATTCATTGTGGTTGTTATTAAGTTCACAAACCATGGTTACAGTGAGAGATACAAACTATGATGATTCAGTCTATCTAACCTGCTGCCACTCCCCGAGTGTCTCTCTCCCTCTCTCTAACTGTATGTGTGTGTGATTGCCTGAGTGCAGACAGGTTCCAGCTTCCAGTCCAACCCTCAGCCCCAGGTTCACACCCACCAGCCCAAGCTTGCCCAGGTCTGCACTCCCTCTCCCCCTCTTTTCAATAAACACTAGTTTCCTATTAAGTCCCTGTCTCCTGGAGTGTCTGCATGTGTGTTCACAAGCTCAGTCTCAACACAAACTGGTTAGGGGATGAAAAGGTGAGAAGGAGGCGTGAGCCGAGACAATACAAAGCGGCAAGGGGGTATACTCTGGAGATTCTTTATTTTAGTTTAAAATAAGCTGCTGAATACTGATTTCTGATGACTTTAACTGGTCACAAGATAACACAGTTACAATATTCAACAAGTGAAGTAGAAAGTCTTAATTCATGAGATCAAGATTAGTATTTTTGTGTCCATGATGGTTTGAGATGTGTCACTCTGTTCTCCACTGCAGTATAATAAGAATACCTTACAATAAACTCAAAGGTACATTTAAATGCTGATCCAGGATCAGTGTCATTACCCCCAAATTTAATATTTACTGACATTAGAGAACACTTTAATTCAGTCCTGTAGCTCACACATGCCAAGACGTTTGTACAAAACATAACAAACTTGTGTTTTCAGCTGTGTTTGCTCTGCTGCTCTTCCAATGCGTGCTCCTTCCAACGCCGCACACAAACTTACACACTACTAACTTCCAGCTAGCCCATCCGTGTTCACGCAGCACCACAGTGGAAGCAAAGCAGAGCAAACAAAGCCAAAACACAATTTTGTTCTGTTTTTCAAAACATCTAGGAATGTGTAAGCTGCAGGACACTTGGATTACTTCAGATGAGCAATATGGAGACATTTTTTGGATGTTTGAAGCCAAGTTGCCGTTCAATGCAGTTTTGTGAGAAACAAACATCTCGGCAAACTCCCAGAAGAGCATGATGAGTCCTTCTATCGGCATCGGGGTGAGTAGACGATGACAGAAATTTCATCTTAGGGTGGCTAAAATGGGTTTGAGGTAGCTTGTTAAAGGCACAAGGACAAGTTCAGGAACTGTTTGCATAGAGCATACGTAGCCTATCGTTTGGAAAGGCTTTTTAACCTTAAACTCTGGAAAACATTTGACATGCTGGTGCATCTTAAAAGACATGCTTACTATTCCTTTTTATCTTAAAGAACAGTGTTTTGCTCTGAGGTTCTAAACGTCTGTTTCTGTATCATGAGTAATATCCTACAAAAAGCAGAGCATCTTGACACTAAAAAGTGCGATATTTGGCCCCTCGCTCTTTTCATGCCCACACTCACATCCGTGACCCATTAAAAATGGCCCCACGAGCCACCAGTTGAGAACCTCTGGTTTAACTTGAAAATGCTGATCTAACTTCTTTTCTTTTGTCCCCAAAACGTAGCCACTCCACATGGCCACATACAGTATTTAATACAGTGCAACAAGTTCAAATAAAAATGACATCATTAAAACGAGAGAAAAATAAGAAAATAGACAAATAGCCACATTAACAACTGTGCCGTATACATGTGCACTCAGACTCAAGTTTGTGTCGCAGAGACAGGATTTTCGGGGACAGCTTAAGGACATCAAGCTCTAGAAGAAGCTTTTGAAAAACTTCCAAAGTGTACTTTGTTTTTGGGGGTAACTCAAATTCATGGCATAAATGATGCTCATGAGCAGGAGACAGGCCTTTGTAACACTTCCATAGTTGTCAAGTACCTCAGTCCCTTCAATAACAATGGACACATCAGTGTCGGATGCACCTTCATCTTCTTCACTTGTGTGGAAGACACAGATCCTCAGGACTTGCTCAGCCTGGTCCTCTTGAACTTCCTCTCTGCTGATATCCTGTAAAATATATGTGAATCCATGTTCAGGTGCATAGTACATATTCTGCTTCATTTTCATTTGGAATAGTATGTATATTCTGTGATGATGGTAAACCTCTTACAACTTATGAATTGCAAAGCACTACACAATTTTGTTTTTACCTGAATAGCCAGATGGCTTTTTTTGTGACACAGCTTGCTGTAGTTGCTGTTTGAGATGGCACTGTGTCAACTGTACAAAGTTGTTGCTTTGGGCTTAAGGACAAAAACACAAAGACAAAATAATACATTAAAACTACAGAATACTACAAGAAATACTACATTAAAACTAGAGGATCATGTAACCAAAATGAACTGTACCACTGTCAAACCAATGTATTTTGGATAATATTTGAAAATATGGCTCTGATCTAAAACATTACACCCATTTCCACATGTGTTAAATCTTAAATGAAGAAAATCCTGCATTTTTGCCGCTGTGATTCTGTTCCTCTCCTCCAAGAGCATTGCTGGTCTAGATTCACGTTGTTGAGAGAGAGCTGTGTCATATGCATCAAGAATAATGCAGAATCCAAATTGAAACAGTGTAAACGGAATCAGAATAGAGAACAATGAGGCTTCATATCAAATTATGAGCAAAATATAGACGAGGGGATTAGAAAGAAAGGGATCCAAACAAGGTGATGGTCCTTATGAAGCATGTGGAAGAAAATGATCACAGGAAATGTTTTTGGATAGATCGTTTGAATTTTTTCCAATTTCCACAAATGAATCTGAATTTCAGATACTTAAGGCTCATCAGTAGCTCTATAACAACTCAAAAAGATGGAAAGTGCATCATTTCTACAAGTGGTGGTTCTTTTAGTTGAAATAAGACACATAAAGTATTTTCATATATGGAATAAAAATATACAGCCACAGTAAGAAACAAATCTGAAATGCCAATAAATGAAATCATATTTATCCTGATAAACTGAGTGACATTTTGTGGGAATGAACATCTCTCCTGACCTCTGTTTGCTCTGTCTCAGTAAGATTTTAGATTTGTGGCAAACTACGAGTACACTGCAAATGAACAAAAACCATAGCTTCCTCTTTAGCTTAAATAATGATTAGCAGCAGGGTTTTGGTGAGGTCTGGTAGAGGCTCTCCAAACCGACGCTGCGGATATTTGAAACGTTTTCTCTCCTCCCTTCCCCTCCTATGTGTAGCGGTTGTGTACTCTGTCGTTGCCTTGAGTTCATTATGCGAAGGAAACTCATCATTTTGGCAAACCCGCCATTTATCCACAGCATCTAGCGAACTATTAATTATACAGTCAGTCCCGGATTCAAAACACTATTACAAACACTATTAAAACTTACTTGGTATTTCTAAGTTCATGGGCAATGACTATGAAACCTTTGAATATTATGTGAAAATACACAATAAAACTTACTCTTCCCACACAGTTTATTTATTACATGAAAGACATATATAGTTTTACTTGAATAATTCCAGTTCTCACTGATACTTACAATTAGAAAATAACAATTGTGACAGTTAACCTAATAAATATTACTACACCAAAAAATGTATGGCTGAACAGACACAGGAAGGAGCGCCACCTAAACACACTCAAACATTTACAGGACAACTAATGAGAAGATGTCAAAGTACCGCCCACAATGTTTGATTGACAGCTGATCTCTGTGCACTGAAGAAACGCCACAACAATCAGCTCTCAGCAACAAACATGAAGACAAAATCAGTTTAAGGATTCAAACTCAGAGTTTAACACAAAGTCCCTGAAATGACTTCTGTCTATTTCAGTTTATAGAACTCAGCAGTGGCTCCAACACTGTAATAAAGCCAAAGTCCAGCATAGAGAGGCTGAGTGAATGTGGTCTGGACTCTGTGGAGGAGAGTCATGGTTTCAGAGACGCTGTAGAAGGACAGAATACCTGCACTGTGATCCAGATACACTCCAACTCTGGAGGACTGAGGACCTGAGACAGGAGTTGAGACATTGTTGTACCAAAAGTTATAACTGTTATTGTCACAATCTAATGACCAAGATTTGTTATTGTATCCAAATCCACATTCATCTGAGCTCCCTGCTCTGCTGATATTCTTGTATGCGACTGCTACATCAACTCCTCTCCCTCTCCACTCCACCTCCCAGTAACAACGTCCAGTCAGACTCTCTCTACTCAGGACCTGCTCCCATCCAGTGAATCTGTCTGGGTGACTAGAATAAGACTGTTGTTGACTCATTAATGTTACTTTTCTGTTCCCCTCAGATAATAACAGCCGTGTGTTTGCTGTGTTTGGATCCAGTGTGAGTTCACGTGAATATTGTAAGAATCCAGCTCTGGTCTTGGGCTCTGGTTGTGACAGTAAAACATCCACTTCAGTCACTGTCAGTGAGACGTTTGTCCATTTGTCCCTCAGAACGTCCTGTAGTTTATCTCTGAGCTCTGACACAGCCGCTGTCACATCCTCAAAGTACCTCAGAGGACGGATATTGATGCTGGATGTAGATTCACTGAGTGCTGACAGTGAGGGGTAGTTGTGTAGAAACTGGGTGTGGTCCTCTGTGTGTGACAGCTTCTTCATCTCAGCGTCTTTCCTCTTCAGCTCAGTGATCTCCTGCTCCAGCTTCTCCTGAAGCTCTTTGACTCGACTCACTTCAGTTTCCTGCTGGGATCTGACCTGCTGCTTCACATCAGAGCTTCTTTTCTCCATGAGACGGATCAGCTGAGTGAAGATCTTCTCACTGTCCTCCACTGCTTTATCAGCAGAGCGATTGATAGCCTCCACCTCCCGTTGAAGCTCCTTCACATCTTTCTCTCTGTCCTGGATTCTCTGCTGGATGTTTTGTCGACTCACCTCGAGCTCTCTCTGCCTCTCAGTCCTTTCTGCTGCAGCTGAGACTGTGTCGTGGCCTTTATGTTTATCCATCAAGCAGAGATAACAGATACACTGCTGATCAGTACGGCAGAAGATCTTCATCACCTCATCATGACAAGAGCAGATGTTCTCCTGGAGCTTCTTGGAGGGGTCCACCAGCTTGTGTTTCTTTAACTGAGCCACATCATAATGAGGCTGGAGGTGTGTCTCACAATAAGAAACCAGACAGACCAGACAGGACTTGAGGGCTTTCAGTTTTCTCCCAGTGCAGACATCACAGGCCACATCTTCAGGTCCAGCATAGCAGAGATCAGCAGGAGCAGCTTGGAGTCCAGTCTTCTTCAGTTCCTCCACTAAAGCTGCTAACATTGTGCTTTTACCAGGACAGGCCTCGGTGTGAAGGTCTGCCTACACTG